TATTAAATCAGTGCTCTAGTGGGTGAGGCAGACTCCTGGACTCACCGGCCAGGGGAAGAACTCCAATAGTGGCTGCTAGTGTCTGTATCAACACACCTGTACTAGGTCACAACAATGGCTGCCACCAATGTCTCAGTCCCTGGGGAGTTGGTCCCAGCCTGGGGAGGTCTCACCTCTCACCAAGATGTGTCCAGAGCCTATCAAGTGAATAATTTTCACTAAAGGACTGTGCAGCTTTCTTTCTGAGGATTTTAGGTTGATTTCTGAAATGAGTGAAGTACTGCATGGGCCCTTTAAAAGCAGGTTTCTTTTACCCCTTATCTCTGTAAGATTTTCTGGGGATATTCCCCATTGTTGTTAATAGCCAGAAAAGTCAGGTATTATGACACTCGTCTTAGTTGTGCTGAGTCCAAGAGCTGCTTATTGTGGCAAATCTCTCACACTCAGATACCCCGTTCCTCCAGGAAAAGCTTCATACCTTAAGATTGCTCCCAGCTGAAGTGTCCTGGCTAAAATGTGGCTTTTTCCCCCCAGAAAGGAATTTCTGCCTCTTCCACCTCAGTCAGCACTGTCCCTTGTTGTGGGGGTTCTTTTTATCCAGTTTTCAGTTCTCTCTTGGGGGTAATTTTTCCAAGAGTAGTTGTAAATTTGTTGTGCCCATGGGAAGAGGTGAGTTCAGAGTCCTCTTACACTGCCATCTTCCCAGCAATCTTCATTGCTGCCATCTTGATTAGATGAAATCTGCCAACAACCTGAATGAGCTTGGATGTGGATTTTTCCCCAGTCAAGCTTCCAGTTACGAACACAGCCTCCTACATCTTGATTGCAGCCTATGAAACCCCGTGCATAAGAGCCAGTTAAGTTGTGACTGGACTTCTGACTCACAGAAACCATGGGAAAATAAATGTGGGTTATTTTAAGCTGCTGTTTGTGCTAATCTGTTATGCAACAGTAGAAAACCAATAGAATCACTGACACCTGTTTACTTATTTTATTTTGTTATCATTCTCTTGACTCTTTTTATGCTATTTTGCCATGTGTCTTGTGTTTTAATTTGAATATGTTATCCATTTGTAATTTTAGTTTTCACTTCTGATATGATTTTGTCTTCTCTTAATTATTATTTTCTTTCCTCAGTTCAGTTAACTCACATTTCATGACTTCTTGTTTTCTGTCCATTTCATTTCTGGGTCTTTAGTTTTGAATTGGAATTTTTTTTCAATTCACAAAAGCCTGATTCAGTCTGAGACATCGTGTTACAGTTCTCTTCTGCTTCACTGGTGTTGAATACGTTCTTGTTGATCTTATTCTCATTCTTGTTTTGGAGAAAATGTGCATCATCTGACAGTAGCGTTAGTGGATCTCATCTGCAGTTTTGTGTTCTTTCTGGAATGTCCATTTTCCTGGACCAGCAAAAACAGTTGTATGGGGTCAGGGTAAGAATGTTGTGGCTTACTAGGTTCTTAATCCAAGATCATCTTCTACTGTTAGTACAGTGAAGTGCAGTTTTTTGTAACAAGAATCGTTGGGGAGTAAGAGAGGTTGACAGATCTTCTGATTTTGTGATCCTCTTTTGTTTCTGAAAGTAATTTAATTCCCCCTACTTGCTTCCTTTTTCCCTTTATTTCCATGCTTCTTAGGAACCCTCCTAGATTTAAGTCACCACTTCACTCCCCATAAGAACACCTTCCCAAGACTATCCCCTCTGATTCTCTATATGTTAAAGTTCCTTTATTTGGATTCCATAGCAAGCAGTGCACTTGTATACTATGTCCCAGACTTGCTTTCCTAAATACTTTACTCAGAACAAAATGCATTTTTGCAGAATGATTTTCTCTCTGCTCATCTTTCCCAGTCCCCACTCCACAGTTTTCTTTTCCAGTCATTCTGTCCTTTCTGACATGGTCTCCAAATTTGGCTTTGCTAGATTTGAGTATTTATTTCCCTGCTTATGTGTTAATTCAAGGTTCATAGTGTTTTCTGTCTTCTAGTTACACTGTAACTGGAGTTTACACATGATTTTATTGTCTGCCTTAGAGCATAAATCATAAGAGTACAGTTGGATGATCGCTAACAAAGAATACATTAATTGGATCAACATTCACATCAAGAAATGGAATATTTACCTCAAGTTCAGGAGTCCCCTCACACCGCCTTCCAGTGACTTCCTCCCCAGGGATAGCACTATCCTGACTTTTAGCAGTATGAGTTAATTTTACCTGTTTTGAACTTTATATAAATGAAATCATACACAACATAGTCATATGTATCTGGTTTCTTTCATTCAAAAATATTTTTGTGAGATTCATCCATATTCTTGCTGTTAGAATAATTCTTTTTTCTTATAACATAAATATCTGTTGTATACATATTCCTAAATTTATTTATATATTTTACTCTTGATGTATATTTTTTAGTCTCCCATTTGAGTTTACCATGACTAATTCCATTATAATCATTCTTTTATTTGGTTATGGGTGAGCATATAAACACAATCCTTTTGGATATGTACCCAGTAGTGGAGTCACTAGGTTTTAGGATGTGCACATGCTCAGCTTTAGTAGATTCTGCCAAAGAGTTGTTTTTAATTTTTTGCAGAGGAAGATTTACCCTGAGATAACATCTACTGTCAATCTTCCTCTTTTTCTTTTTTTTTTTTTGCTGAGAAAGATTAACCCTGAGCTAATATCTGTGCCAATCTTCCTCCACTTCCTCCTGCCACAGCATGACTGGTGAGTGGAGTAGGTCTGCTCCCAGGATCAAAACCCACAAACCTGGACCACCAAAGTGGAGTGAGCAGAACTTTAACCGCTCGGCCATGGGGCCAGGCCCCAAAGAGAATTTTTTAAAACTTCTTGTACCAATTTACACTCCCACCAGTGGTATGTAAGAATTCTAATTGCTTTACATACTTGCCAAAGCTTAATATTGTCTTTTTTTCCTTATAGAAATTCTGGTGCGTATATAGAGATATCACATTGTGAATCAAAACAAACACTTGTTTATCTTTGCAATAAGAATGCAGTCTCAGTTATTGTAGTTTTTTAAATTGGTCTTGATTCTTGGCAGTGTAAGTCCTTCACCTTTGACATACACCTTCACGATTGCATTGGCTATTTTTGGCCACTGATTCTATGATTTTTGCATTTCTATAAAAATTTTGAATCACCCTATTGATTTCTACCAGGAATAAAATCTCTTCTGGGATGTTGTTTGAGACTGTGCAAAATTATAGTCTATTCATGGAGACTAGACATCTTTAAACTATTCAGTCTTCCAGTCTATATATGTGACATATTCTTCTTTTATTAAGATTTCTTTAATTTTTCTCAAAAATATTTTGTAACTTTTCGATGTAGAGGTCACATATCTTTGGTTAGATTTATGTCTAGGTATTTGATGTTTCTCAAAGCTATAGTAAACAAACATATTTAAATTGTATTTTCTATGTACTTTTTATAGGCATATAAATTTGTAATTTATTATTATATATTGACTGTATCCAGCAAGTTGAAAATTTCAGTTCTTAGTTCTAATACATTCTGAACTTTTTAATGTCACCTTTTTATGTCATGCTATGTATGTATTTATGTATTTATTTCCAATAATTGTGTTACATGTTTTTCTTGACTTACTTATTGCACTGGCTAGGGTCTCTAATATAATAGCAAATATTGTTTTCTATTATGTATAAAATACATATATTAAATATTATATTATATAGTAAATATAAGGCATGAAAATAGGGAACATTGTCCCATTCCCAGTCTCAACAGGAAAGAAGAGGACAAGGAAGAGAGCAAGAGGGGAAGAAAAGAATAGAGGAACTACAAAACAGCCAAAAAGCATTAACAAGATAGCAGTGAGTATATGCCTATCAATAACTACTTTAAATGTAAATGGACTAGATTCTCCAATCAAAAGACATAAAGTGGCTGAATGGATAAAATAACAAGACCCATCAATATGCTCCCTACAAGAAACTCATTTCTAATGTAAGGACACAAACACCAAAAGTGAAAGGATAGAAAAAGATATTCTATGCAAATGGAAACCAAAAAAAAGCTGGGGTAGCTATACTTAGACAAAATAGACTGTAAGACAAAGGCTATAATAAGAGACAAAGAAGGTCAATACAGAGTCATCTGCCACATAACAACGTTTCAATCAATGATGGACCACATATACAACAGTCGTCCCATAAGATTATAATGGAGTTGAAAAATTCTTATTGTCTAGTGACATCCTAGTCATTGTAACACCAAAGGTTTTCATTAATAGAGAGGAATGTTCATGGTGCATTATCTGCTTACAAGCAAATCTATGATGAAAAAAAGGAACAAACCAAGCAAACCACCATGGACATATTTCTGAAAAGAGTGACACCTCCTCAAGAAGAGCCTCAGGCAAATCCTTCAAGAAGTATTTCCATAGAAGGCATTATCAGGAGGTGACAGCTCCATGTGTGTTATTGCCCCTGAAGACCTTCAAGTGGAACAAGATGTGGAGGTAGAAGACAGTGATATAAATGATCCTGACACTCTGTAGGCCCAGGCTGATGTGTGTGTTTGTGTCTTAGGTTTTAAGAAAAAAAAATTTAAAAAGTAAACAAAATAAATTAATAAATTTAAAAATAGAAAACAGCTTATAGAATAAGAATATATAGAAAGAAAATATTATTGTACAGCTGTACAATGTGTTTATGTTTTAAGCTGTGTTATTACAAAAGAGTCAAAAAATTAAAAAAATTAAAAAGTTCATGAAGTAAAAAGGTTACAGTAAGCTAAGGTTAATTTATTATTGAAGTAGGAAACTTTTAAAAGTAAATTTACTATAGCCTGTGTACAGTATTTATAAAATCTACAATAGTGTACAGTAATATCTTAAGCCTTCACATTCACTCAACACTCATTCACTGACTCATCTAGAGCAACTTCCAGTCCTGCAAGCTCCATTCATGGTAAGTGCCCTATACAGGTGTACCATTTTTTATCTTTTATATCATATTTTTACTGTACCTTTTCTATGTTTAGATATGTTTAGATACACAAATACTTACCATCATGTTACAATTGCCTACAGTATTCACTACAGTAACATGCTGTACAGGTACATAGCCTTGGAGCAATTGGCTATACTGTATAACCTAGGTGTGTAATAGACTATACCATCTAAGTTTGTGTAAGCACACTCTATGATGTTTGCACAATGACAAAATCACCTAAGGATGCATTTCTCAGAATGTATCCCCATTATTAAGTGATGCATGCCTGTATAATAATAAAGAGTTCAACCCAACAAGAGGATTATATCTGTATAACATCTGAACATATTTATGCACCCAAAGTAGGAGCATCTAACTATACGAAGCAAATATTAACAGACTTAAAGGGACAAATAGAGACCAATACCATAATAGTAGGAGACTTTAATACCATAAATTCATCAATGGATAGGCCATCCAGACAGAAAATCAATAAGGAACTATTGGCCTTAAATGACAAATTAGATCAGACAGACTTAACAGACACATACAGAACATTCCATCAAAAAGGAACAGAATACACATCTTCTCATGCACACATATAACATTCTCCAGAACAGAACATATCTTAGGCCACAAAACAAGTCCTAATAAATTTAAGAAGATTGAAATCATATCAAACATCTTTTTTGACCACCATGGTATGAAACTAGAAATAAATTACTGGAAAAAAACTGAAAAATTCAGAAATATTCAGATTAAACAACATGCTACTGAATAAGCAATGGGTCAAAGAAGAAATCAAAAGAGAAATTACAAAAATACCTTAAGACAAATTAAAATGGAAATATAACATACCAAAATTTATAGGAAGAGGGAAGTTCATAGCAATAAATGCTTATCTCAAGAAACAGGGAAAGTTGCATATAAACAACCAAAGTTTAGACCTCAAGGAACCAGAAAAAGAAGAACAAACAAAGGCCAAAGTTAGTAGAAGGTAGGAAATAACAAATATCTCACCGGAAATCAATGAAATCAAGACTAAAAAGGTAGTAGAAAACATCAGTGAAACTAAGAGCTAGTTCTTTGAAAGAAAAACAAAATTGACAAACTTTAGTTAGACTCACTGAGAAAAAAAGAGAGAGGACTCAAACAAAAAAAATTCAGAAATGAAACAGGAGATATTATACTGATATCACAGAAATACAAAGGATGATATTACTATAAAAAATTATACACCAACAAATAGGAAAACCTAGAAGAAATGGATATATTTCTAAAAACATAAAACCTACCAAAAGTGAAGATACAGAAAATAAAAATAAAGAAATAGAAAATCTGAACAGACTGATTACTAGTAAAGAGATTGAATCAGAAACAACCCAACAAAAAAAAGTCCAGGACCCGAGGGCTTCACCAATGAATTCTACCAAACATTTAAATAATTAATACCAATCCTTCTCAAACTCTTCAAAAAAACAGAAGAGGAATGAACACTTCAAAATTCATTTTATGAGGCCAACATTAATCTGATAGCAAAACCAGAAAAAGAGACCACAAGAAAAGAAAATTACAGGCCAATATCCCTGATGAGTATAGATGCAAAATATTAGCACACCAAATTCAACAATACTTTTAATTGATAATGGGATTTATTTTAGGGATGCAAAGATGGTTCAACATCAGCAAATCAATTAATGTGATAGAGGACATTAACAAAATAAAGGATAAAAATCATATGAACATCTCAATAGATGCAAAAAAATAATTCAATATCCATTTATGACAAAAACTCTTTACAAGTGGGTGTAGAGGGAACATACCTCAACATAATAAAGACCATACATGACAAGCCCCCAGCTAACATCATACTCAATAGTAAAAAAGTGAAAGCTTTTCCTCTAAGATCAGGAACAAGACAAGGATGCTCACTCTCATCACCTTATTCTTGATAGTATTTGATGTCCTAGCCAGAGCAATTAGGTGAGAAAAAGAAATAAAAGGCATTCAAATTGGAAAGGAAGAAGTAAAACTGTCAGTAATTGCAGATGACGTGATATTATATACAGAACACCCTAAAGACACCACCAAAAAGCTGTTAGAACAAATAAACGAATTCAGTAAAGTTGCAGGATAAAAAATGAATATGAGGGTATTATGCTAAGAGAAATAAGTCAGACAGAGAAAGACAAATACCATAAGATATCACTCATATGCAGAAGATGAAAACACACACGCATAGATAGGGAGAACAGATTGATGGTTACCAGAGGGGAAGAAGGTGGGGGAGGGTGAAAGGGGTAAAGGGACACATATGTATAGTGAAAGATGGAAACTAGACTTTTGGTGGTGAACATGATGCAGTCTATACAGAAGCCAAAATATAATAATGTATACTTGAAATTTACATAATGTTATAAATCAAAGTGACCTCGATAAAATAAAAAATAAAATGCAATGATAAAAAAAAAAAAAATGAATATACAAAATTCTGTTGTATCTTTATAAACTGATAATAACCTATCAGTAAAAGAAATTAAGAAAGCAATCTCATTTAAATTGTATCCAAAAGAATAAAAAACTTAGGAATAATTTAACAAAGGAGGTGAAAGACTTGTACACTGAAAACTATAAGGCACTGGTGAAAGAAATTGAAGAAGATACAAATAAATAGAAAGATATTCCATCTTGGGTTGGAAGAATTAATATTGTTAGAATGTCCATACCACTCAAAGCAATCTACAGATTCAATACAATCTCTATCAAAATTCCAATGGCATTTTTCACAGAAATAGAACAAACAATCTTAAAATTTGTACAGAACCACATAAGATCCCTAACTGCTAAAGCAATCCTGAGAAAGAGGAACAAACCTGGAGGCATCATGCTTCCTCATTTCAAGCTATATTCCAAAGCTGTAGTATTCAAAATGGTATGGCATTGGCATCAAAACAGACACATAGATCAATAGAACAGAATAGAGAGCCCAGAAATAAACACATGCATATATGGTCAATTAATTTACCACAAAGTATCCAAGAATATACAATGCGGAAAAGATAGTCTCTTCAATAAATGGTTCTGGGAAAACTGGATATCTACATGTAAAAGAATAAAACTGGACCCCTATCTTATACCATACACAAAAATTAATTCAAAATTGATTCAAGACTTGAATGTAAGACCTGAAAACATAAAAGTCCTAGAAGAAAACATAGGCTATAAGCTTCTTGACGTTGGTCTTGTTAATGATTTTTTGGATTTGACACCAAAAGCAAAGGCAACAAAAACAAAAATAAACAAGTGGGATGACATCATACTATAAAGCGTCTGCACAGCAAAGGAAACCATCAACAAAATGAAAAGGCAACCTACTGAATGGGAAAAAATATTTTCAAATCATATATCTGATAAAGAGTTATTATCTAAAATATATAAAGAACTCATACAACTCAATAGCAGAAAAACAAACAATTTGATTGAAAAATGGGCAGAGGATCCAAACAGACATTTTTCCAAAGAAGACATACAGATGGCCAACAGGTACATGAAAAGGTGCTCAACATCACTAATCATCAGGGAAACGCAAATCAAAACCATAGTGAGATATTACCTCACACCTGTTAGAATGGCTGTCATCAAAAAGAAAAGAAATAATAAGTGGTGGAAAGGATGTGGAGAAAAGGGAACACTTGGGCATTGTTGGAGGGAACATAAATTGGTGCAGCTACTCCGGAAAACAGTAAGGAGTTTCCTCAAAAATTAAAAACAAAACTACCATATGATCCAGCAATTCCTCTCCTGAGTATTTATCTAAAGAAAAAAAAAAAAAACTAACTCGAAAAGATTTCTGCACCTCCATGTTCCTTGCACCATTATATGAAATAGCCAAGATATGGAAGCAATGTACATGTCCATCCACGGATGAATGGATAAAGAAGATGAGGTATATATATACCATGGAATATTATTCAGAGATAAAAAGAAGGAAATCTTGCCATTTGTGACAGTATGGATGGAGCTTGAGGGCATTTTGCTCACTGAAATAAGTCAGACAGAGAAAGAAAAATGCTGTATGATCTCACATATGTCGAATTAAAAAAGAAAAAAAAAAAAACGTGCTCATAGATACAGAGAACAGAATGCTGGTTGCCAGAAGTGTGTTTTGGGCTTGGGCAAAATGAGTGAAGGTGGTCAAGAGGTACAAGCTTCCAGTATTTTGTGCTGGTCTCATCCTATGGACAGGGATGCTATAGGCTAGAAATGCCTGGGGGAGCTCACCTAGGCCTGTGGTGAGCTCCTAGAGACATTTCGCATTTCAGAACCAATGTGGTGGCTGGCCAGGCCCTGTGGTTCTTGTTATGATTGCAAGATGCCCTCAGCAATAACCATCAAGAAACTTTGAAAAAAACAAGGTTTATTACTCACAAGTCCTGGAGTGTACATGGTGTGTCTGGGACCACACAGCAAAGTCACAAGGAGAGAGAGAGAGAGAAAGCACAGGCCTGGGATACTGCTTTCATTGGGGTCAAGTGTGGGGGGCCTAGAGTTTTGCGGGTTTACTCTTTATTGGAGAATTTAAAACATAAGAGTGGGAATTAAAGCACAAGATGGGAAAAACAAGAGGTCAAAAGTCAGTATCTAAGTCAACCAGAGATCTCTAAAACAAGGAAACTTTACAGTTTTGGTGGCCTGGCTCTTTATCTAGCTGTGTAGCTGGCAATGGGTTTATTTGAGATTGCTGTCTTTGACGTAGATGCCTTGGCAGTCAAAAGCTTAATGTCAGGCACTTGTACAACCATACGAAAATAAACTGTCAGCTGCTAATACTACAACCAGGTATAAAATAAATAATTCTGGGAATGTAATATATAGTATAAAGACTATATTTAATAACACTGTATTATATATTTGAAAGTTGCTAAAAGAGCAAATCTTAAAAGTTCTCATCACAAGAAAAAAAATTTGTAACTATGTGTGGTGATGGATGTTAACTAGAGGTACTGTAGTTACCATTTTGCAGTATATACAAGTATTGAATTATTATGTTGCATAACTGAAACTAATATAATGTTATATGTCATTTGCATCTCAATAAAAAATCATTATTTAAAAAAAAAGTCAGACACAAGAAGGTACATACTATAGAATTCTATTTATATCAAGCAAAACTAACCTTTAGTGATATAAATCAGATCACAGGTCATTTGTGATGAGAGTAGGGAGAGATTGAGCAC